AGGCACCTGCTACCACTCCCAGCTAATTTTTGTATTTTAGTAGAGACGGGGTTTCACCATGTTGGCCAGGCTGGTCTCGAACTCCTGACCTTGGGTGTTCCACGTGTCTCGGCCTCCCAAAGTGCTGGGATTACAGGCATGAGCCACCAGGCCCAGCCTAGTAGTTTTAATTATATATATTTACTATAATTTTAACTCTTAGTAACCTAATTTCTAGTGAAAAACCTAGAAAGTAATTTTGAACATATTTTATCAGTATTTGTAGATGAAAATCACTTCATAAGTTTTTAGAAAGATGTTTCCTCCACTTTTATTAATAGATTGAAATATACTTAGCTTTGTTAAACCATGTAAGATACCAAAGTATATAAGCTTAAACTTAAAGGACTAAGTTTAATTAATATTGATTAATATTTTATCCCAGAGCTTGGGCCACTAGCTGTAACCTGCCCTGTAGCTGGTAGCCTAGGCAAGCCACTGTGCCTGGCCTGGTTACCTTTAGAAACACCTTTTCTTTTTTTTTTTTTTTTTTGAGACAGGGTCTCGCTCTGTCACCCAGGCTGGAGTGCAGTGGCACAGTCTCGGCTCACTGCAGCCTCTGCCTCCTGGGTTCAAGTGATTTTCCTGCCTTAGCCTCCCAAGAAGTAGCTGAGATTACAGGCATGCACTACCACACCGGGCTAATTTTTGTATTTTGAGTAGAGACAGGGTTTCACCATGTTGGCCAGGCTGGTCTTGAACTCCTGGTGTCAAGTGATCCACTCACCTCAGCCTCCCAAAATGTTGGGATTACAGGTGTGAGCCACCACGCCTGGCCAGAAACACTTTTCAGATATGGATTTCACTTTGTTTTGTTAATAATTGTCCTTATTTGCATATTGTTTTTTGAGACGGGTCTTACTTTGTTGCACAGGCTGGAGGGCAGTGACACAATCTTGGCTCACTGCAACCTACACCTCCCAAGCTCAAGTGATAATCTAACCTCAGCTTCCCTAATAGCTGGGGCTATAGGCGCACACCACCACACCCACCTACCATTACACCTGGCTAATTTTAAAATTTTTTTGTAGAGACAGGGTTTCTTTATGTTGCCAAGCTGGCCTCCTGGACTCAAGTGATCTGCTGGCATTGGCCTCCCAAAGTGCTGGGATTACAGGCATGAGCCACTGGACCCAGCCCGTATTTTTTATTCTTAAGTTGATTATGCTTTGTATTTCTAGACGTCTAAAGTCAACAACAAAAAACTAAGATTAAATTGATTGATATCTCAGCATTTTAACTTAGAAATGACTCAGACATTTTATGATTATCTATTACATAATTTAACATAACATTACTTCGAGATACACAGTTACCCTCCTCTAATGTTTTTCCCAGTCATTCTGGGTCCCAAGTACCCATGTGGCACCCAGGATGGCTATAAAGTACAACCCTTTTAGGCATGGCCAGGAAACACGGCTGGGCCAGGGAGGACATACTACGTTTGGCCCTGACCTGCCCCTGGTGGTCTAGCTGCTATGGACATACATATGTCTTCAAAGGTCTCACCATGGCCACCTGTCCAGGTCCCAAAATCTTTTTCTTTTTTTTTTTTTTTTGAGAGAGTGTCACTGTGTTGCTCAGGCTGGAGAGAAGTGGCATAATCTTGGCTCAGTGCAAACTCCACCTCCTGGGTTCAAGTGATTCTTGTGTCTCAGCCTCCCAAGTAGCTGGGATCACAGGCATGTGACACAACACCCGGCTAACTTTGGTATTTTTAGTAGAGGGGGGTTTCACCATGCTGGCCAGCTGGTCTCAAACTCCTGACCTCAAGCAATCCGCCCACCTTGGCCTCCCAAAGTGCTGGGATTACAGGTGTGAACCACCACTCTCAGCCTGAATCTCTCTTATGTGTCTCAGACTGCCTCTAACCACCAGGTAGCATTAGGGTTCTCAAGTTATCAGGGTTACCAGTCCCTTATTTATGCCTTTCTGGATAAGCAAGTGTCCCTAAAATGTTCTTTTAGTGAGGAATGCCCTGTAAGTCTGCTTTGTGTCCTGGGCAACAGTCCTGACATCTCTGCACAGTCTCTAGTCACCTAGACCAGCTGAATGGGTCAGTCAAAGTCATTGTCTCATCTCTTCAGGGTAATATAATTCACCCTCATGCACTCTTTGGTTTGGAAATAACAGGAATTGGTCACAAATGAAAAGACAAGTCTGAATTATAAGCAGTAGAAAGCAGGTGCAATTTCAAAGGTATATGCTATGTAGTTTTAGGCTATAAGAAGTGAAACCACTTGTATTAGTTCTTTCTTACATTGGTATAAACAAATACCTGAGACTGGGTAATTTATAGACAAGAGGCTTAATTTGCTCATAGTTCTTCAGGCTGTACAGGAAGCATGGCAGTATCTGCTTCTGAGAAGGTCTCAGGAGGCTTTTACTCATGGTGAAAGGCAAAGCAGGAGCCAGCATTTTATATGGCAGGAGCTAGACCGAGACAGGGTGGGGAGGTGCTACACACTTTTAAACAACCAGATCTTGTGAGAACTCACAAGGGGGCATGGTGCTAAGCCATTCATGAGAAACCATCCCCATAATTTAATCACCTCCCACCAGGCCCCACTTCTAATCCCCACTGGGGATTACAATTCAACATGAGATTTAGTGGGGACACAGACCCAAATCATATCACTCCACCTTTGGCCCCTCTAAATCTCATGTCTCTCTCACATTGTAAAATACAATTATGTGTTCCCAATAGTCCCTCAGAGTCTTAACTTATTCCAGCATTAACTCAGAAGTCCAGAGACTCATCTGAGACAAGGCTAGTCCCTTCTCCCACCTCAGCCTCCCGAGTATCTGGGACTACAGGCGTGTGCCACCACGCCCAGCTAATTTTTGTATTTTTAGTAGAGACGGGGTTTCACCATGTTGGTCAGGCTGGCCTTGAACTCCTGACCTCAGGTGATCTGCCAGCCTTGGCCTCCCAAAGTGCTGGGATTACAGATGTGAGCCTCTGCGCCCGGTGTGGTATTTTCCGTTTAATGTATTGTTAGATTTATCAGGTGTGGTGGCTCATGCCTACAGATGTGATTACAATCCTAGCCTTTTGGGAAGCCGAGGTGGGTGGATCACTTGAGCCTAGAAGTTTGATACTAGTCTGGGCAACATGGCAAAATGCCATCTCTACAAAAACAAAAGAAAAAAACAACCAGCCAAATCAAACAAAACAAAACAAAAACTAGCTAGGCATGGTGGCTTATGCCTATAGTCCCAGCTATTCAGGAGGCAGAGGTGGGATTCCTTGAGCCTGGGAGGCGGAGGTTACAGTGAGCCTGGGTGACAGACCAAGACCCTGACTCAAAAACAAAACAAAAACAAAACAAACAAACAAAAAAAACCCAAGGCTGGGTGCAGTGGCTCACGCCTATAATCCCAACACTTTGGGAGGCTGGGGTGGGTGGATTACTTGAAGTCAGAAGTTTGAGACCAGCTTGTCCGACATGGTGAAACCCCGTTTCTACTAAAAATACAAAATTAGCCGGGTGTGGTGGGGCATGCCTGTAATCCCTGCTACTCGGGAGGCTGAGGCAGGAGAATCACTTGAACCTGGGAGGCAGAGGTTGCAGTGAGCGAGACCACACCACTGCAGTCCAGCCTGGGCAATGTGAAACTCTGTCTCAAAACAAACAAACAAACACAAACAAACATAGATACATAGATAGATGTGGGGGTGGGGGAGAGAGTTGGATTCAATTTGCTAAAATTTTGATTAAACATTTTGTATCTATGTTAATGAAGGACATTGGTATATAGTTTTTTTCTTATAGCATCAATTTTTTCTTTTTTTTTTTGAGACAGTTTTGTCACCCAGGCTGGAGAGCCATGGAGCCATCAGTTCACTGTAACCTCAAACTCCTGGGCTCAAGGGATCCTCCTACCTTAGTCTCCCAAATTGTTGGAAAAATAGGTGTACACCGCCACACGCAGTTATTTTTTCCAAATTGGCTGTATAATTTTGCATTTCCATCCGCAATGCATGAGGGTTCCACTTGCTCCAAATCCTTGTCAATATTTGGTATTTTCAGTTTTTTTTTTTTGAAATGGAGTCTTGCTTTGTCACCCAGGCTTGAGTGGAGTGGCATGATCTCGGTTCACTGCAAACTGTTGTTGACCAAATACACACATTGAAAAATGTAATTCAAGAGTCTATAAGGGATCATTTCTTTTTTATAAAATTATTTACTATTTAAAATTAAAAAAAAATTTTTTCAGCACTCAATGCTCCCAGTGTGGGCTTAGATGCTGAGGCTGGGATCATTTCTTGTTGGTGGTAAACTCCAGATTTTTTTGTCTGAAAATGTCTTGAATCACATAACCTGGCTGAAATCCTGGTTTTACCATTTCTTAGTCATATGACTCTAGATATGTACCATAACCTCTGGAATCATTGGTTTATTCATCTGCAAAACTGGTAATCTTGAGTACATTCATTCTCTACTGGGTAAGACAAGTTTGGGAGGGTAGACGCACGGAGAAGCTCCTGAGCAGATGAGTTCTCTCGAAAAACGCCAAGATCCAAAGCAAAACAGAATAAAACATACACCATAATCACCTCTCTGAATGTTTGAAAATTGTAGGGAGGTCGGGCGCCGTGGCTCACTCCTGTAATCCTAGCACTTTGGGAGGCTGAGGAGGGTGGATCACAAGGTCAGGAGTTCAAGACCAGCCTGGCCAAGATGGTGAAACCCCGTCTCTACTAAAGACACAAAAAATTAGCTGGGTATGGTGGCACACACCTGTAATCCCAGCTACTCAGGAGGCTGAGGCAGGAGAATCACTTGAACCCTGGCAGCAGAGGTTGCAGTGAGCCGAGATCATGCCACTGCACTCCAGCCTGGGCAAGAGTGAGACTCCATCTCAAAAAAAAAAAAAAAAAAAAAAAGAAAATTGTAGGGAAGACAAGGTTAACATACTGGAGAAAAAAAAAAAAACCTAATAACAATATTCCTGTATGCTTGAGAGTTACAGTGTGTGGTTCTTTTTAATCAGTTCTTTCAAGTCCAGTGAAATAGCTGCTTGTAGGAGCTTACAAAAGAGACTTTACAGAAGAGAGTGCTTGACTGGAAGTCGTCAACTTGTTAGCCAACTCCAACAATCTATTTTTAACAGAAAAATCCAATGTGAACACTAAGAAAAAGGATTGGTATTCCATGGATGAGCCTGAAAAAAAAGAAAAAGGAATTGGTAAAAAGGAAAAGTATTAATCCAAAAGTAAGGTTTTCAGAAGTAACAAAGTAGTTATTCATTCAACACTTGGTACCTACAGCCTCAAACACTATAAAATATGAAAGACAGATTGCTTCTGCCTATAACAAACTTATAAAGTTGGTAAGATAGACATATTATGTAATTAAAATCTGTTAACAAAGCAATATGTAACAGAAAGCTTATCTGTATAGGAAAAACAACTACAGAATATAGTAATATTATGTAGGAGGGTGCTGACTTGAAACAAATAACATGTAATAGGAATTATAGGAGGTGGAGCTCAATGTAGGTTGTCCATTGTTTTCTAGATTCCTCTTGCCTTGCGTTGGGATGTGCAGAATGAACAGGAATAAAAATAAGTTGTAATTAGGCTGGGCACAGTGACTCATGCCTTGTAATCCCGTACTTTGGGAAGCCAAGGTGGTGATCAACAAGCAAGGAGATCAGACCATCCTCGCTAAACAAGGTGACCCCTCGTTCCTACTAAATATACAAAAAATACCGGGCCGGGGCGGGGGCGCCTGTGGCCCCAGCTCCTCAAGGAGGCGAAGCAGGAAGAATGGCATATACTGGGTGCGAGCTTCCAATGACGAGATTGCGCCCCTGCCCTCCAGCTGGGAGACAGAGCGAGGACCCATCATCAAAAAAAATAAAACAAAAAAAAAGTGGAATGACAGCACTCCCACCTTATCCACCAATGATAGGCCAAGCACCCCCTTCAGTGGATGCCTGAACCCTAAAAACATAACTTT